CAACCAATGTCAGGTGTAACTGTCTTGGACCATAAGCACAGGTAAATTTTTGTCTGTGTTTGACAGTACCTCCATGATCAAAAAGTGCTTGGAAACCTTTTTTTACTTGTATTATGCAATTAATTACATACTTTGCAAAATACATCAGTGTCTGAACGTACAGTTGCCCATAATCGTACTGTAGAATCTGCCTTGTCCTTTTGTTTCAACCAATCAGTTCGGAATTTGCACTTTGGTAGCGTCATATTGAGTGGATTCAAACCATTACATCTATACTCTTCTTCTTCTTCAGTGTTAATATGGAGAATTTAGCTCTTTCTAGGCTCTTTCTCCGATTTTCCCACTCAGGTTCCCCTACTTAAATCGTCTGGTTCGTGCGATGTATGCTTCTAATGCCACCACTAGATGGCGGGGTGTGATCTTTGTCGTCGGCGCATAGATTTCCCACATAGTGCTCTTATCGGTCAGTCTTACTCCCAGGGCTGTTCCCAGGTCTCTGCGAGCGTTGGCGTATTCTGGACATTCTAGCCAGAAGTGCGCTGCCGTTTCCCTCTTCTTGCAGTGAGGGCATTGAGGCGTGTCGTGTAGCCGTCTGGAGTGCAAAAAATCATTCAAAGGGGCCGTCTCCGTACGCAAGCGTGCGAGTACAGTCTCCATGTATCTGTTCGACGCGTATGTATAGTGCCAATTGGCAAACGGACAAAGATATTCCCTGCACTTTCTCCTCAAGTCGGATGTCCAACACTCCGTTAGCCGGTGAACTACCCTCTCCCTCTCCATCCTTGCCACATCCCGTGGCATTAACGCCCGCCAGATCGATCCGTCAGGTTCCCCGAACCGTGCCAACCTATCTGCCCTGGGGTCCATCCACACAGGCTTCCCGCCTTAAACCCAGGCCCGCTGCGAAATCAATAATTACACCCGGGGATGAAAAACCTATGTTCGCCACAGCAGTAAGACATCTATACTCTAACTTGGAACCTGCTATAAACCAACAGTTTGTTGGTATCATTCCACTAGAGATTTTTATTGGTCGATCACAATCGAAAGAGAGTAAACACGTGTTGACCACGTGATCGGTCACTTCTCTGCACGTGTTAAAAATAGAACAGAATAAAAAAATTACCAATAAAATAAAGCAATACTTAGAAAATTACTTTCTGCATGTTTTACCAATTCTATTTGATCATTTAAATATATATAATTTGTCAAAAATTAACATTAAATGTAAATTATTTAGATCTACACAAACTATATTTACAATTGAATAGTTTAACGTATTTCAAAATTTTATTTGTACATAAATTTTCCATTTTTGTAATGTGATTATTATATTAATTTGAAATAAAATTAACAACTCTTATTACGAACAAAATCAAACGATAATAAGCAGAAAACGAAACTTTTATGAGCACGATCGGAAACTGTTTATTTTTTTAAATGCTTCGAGATTGATTTAAAAATAAATTAATAAATCCGAAATAAACAGATTTCAAATAGAATAAGTAAAATAATATTTTATTAATGATTTCATAAATAACGAGGAACTTTTTCCTGCGGATGTTCCCTCACCGCCGAAACCGAAACTAACCCTTTACAAATAAGTGCTATAAATAGACTCTCAACTCTGCCTGCATGAAATATAGACCTAACCAAATTAATCAAGATCGACAAGTACTTTATCCGCACCTTCCCAAATAATATGTTTCAATTGATTTGACTTCAATTTTAATTTACATTAATTAATTTTGATTTTATTTTTAATTTTAGCTACGGTTTCGGTTTTTGTTTCGATATAAAGAACAGTTTTAAAATTTTAATTTAATTTTAAATTTAAGTTAAATATTTTTAAATTTAATTATTATTTTTTGTTTTAATTAAGGCTGTGTACACACTAGGCGTTTTTAAACGCGCGTTAGCTCGGCTTTCGACGAGCGTTAATAGAGCGTACGCACTGGCTCAGCTTGGAAATGGACGTGAAAGTAATTGCTTGTGTGCCCCTCCTCCATCGTCGCTATAAAAGACGATGGCAGAGGCAAAGAGAATTTTGGGTGCACCCAATATTACGAGATAGACTGACACATGGAATGTTCGCGACGTTGTATCCAAAACTAAGACAAAATGAACCCAAGTTTTTTAATTCTTTTAAAATATCTATAAAATCATTTGACAATGGTTGGTCTCTTTTAGATTTCATCAATAAATAGATCAGTATCAAAATGATCGTTCTCCATTTCGGTCAACGTACGTCCACTTTACCCGAAAACGCGTGATCGAATGTACAGTAACATGGCAGCACATATATCTCAAAGCGCTCGGCTGACGCCCGCAAAACGCGTGTTTTAACAAAAATCTATCAACGCGCGCTTGGCCAAAAGCGCGCGTTTGAGTGTGTACGCCTATGTAGAACTCTTGGTTCTTTAAAACGCGTGTTAAAAACGCCTAGTGTGTACACAGCCTTACTGACTACCTAGTTACATATAAATACAGGCGATAACTTAACAACACTGAGCGGCAGTTGCGATTTTGAGTCCCGCTCGGGCGGAGTATTTTTTTCCATAAAAATCTAGTCCGATAGTTCGATAATTCGACAGATCGTCTGGCTTTAAAACTATTTTTGATTGGTCCCACATCTTCCTAATTTTTAAGCACGTAGAAATGACCAAAAAAGTGAGAAAATGACTTGAAAAGTGAGAAAAGTGAGGATACTTCAGAAAAGTGAGTACAAGTGAGAAAAGTGAGCGACTCCGAGGCCTGGTATAAACAATAATATATCCTAACAATAATTTTATGAGACAATATAGTTATTTAAAGAAAGCCAAAAAACAATTTTTGTAATTCATTTTCTATGCTTTAAAAATGTCACGATATTAATTTTTTACATGCGGATTTCTTCGCATGTAAAAAATATCGCTACTTCTATTGTATTTTTTAATATGAAGAGTTTGTCTATTGTTCAACTTACAAAACTCTATTAATGTATTTTAGCAATACCAGTTCACACCAACTATTAACCAACACTGACAACACAACTTCCGACGTTCTACCGGAAGTTGAAAAGGGTTCAATCATGTAACTTGCCTCAGGCTTTGTTTACTTTTAAATCCTTCTATATATATAAAGAGTTTTTTTGTTTGTTTGCTATGCACTCCTAGGCCTTTCAACCAATTGCTATGAAACATAGCATTTATGTTTACACACTTTTAACTTAGAAAATGTCATAAATATCACCCCTAAATATTGATTCAATTTCTACACATCAATTAATTTCCATCTAAATTCAATTTGCTTGGTTTAAATTAGTGCCATCTACTGGAAAAAATTTAAGAAAATAATAAACTAAAAATAATTCTTAAAATGAATATAATTTTTAAAAATATATATTATATTCACTTAATTACTGCAATAATATAGCATGAATTAGACATATGTCATTAGCATGACATGAAGCACACAGCACTTGCCTGTGTGGAATCAAGTGAAAAGTCTTTTAATTATTTAATTTTCCACATAGTACAACTTGGGTTTTTTCTCTTCTGAATAATACTTTCTTAATTGTAATGGATAAAACCACTTAACACCAGTATTTGGTTGTGGGTTTGGGATTGCTAACAGGATATCAAAGTGGAGTTTTGCAGGTTTTCTTCATGTTACTAACACCTAAATAGGGATAGCTTCCCATAAGAGTCTTCCCAGGATGCATCATCCCCTTGGTAGATTGCTCACATGTCACATTGCCATACCCAAATAAACCAAACTAATTCTAATAATTTTTTTTATAAATGTGATATTTACAAGAATATACTTTCCACATAGTTTATAAACACTTCATCATTACATAAAAGGAATTATTCTAGCATTTTTTAACAAGATTTTTTATTTAAACAAATTATATGAAGTATTTCAAATGTTAAGGTTTGGAACTTTGATCACATGCAGAGCCATCACAACCTGTCTAACATGCATCACTTTTCAAATATTAATAGTAGACCAGTGTTAAGTAGTAGCTGACTATACTCTCTTCTGGGAAGGGGTCAACAAATACTTTTGGTTGAATTACTTCAATTCCCTTCCGAAACAGTCCCTTCTTTCTATTGGACCAGCAGTATGGTGACATTCCAATATGAAAATTACATAAAACAAGATTACCAGCAAGCACAAAATATGTTTCAAGGGTGCCGAGTTTAAATATTTGGTCTATTTTCTGCAAAATTTGATTCGTTGGTAGATTACTGTTTGATATTCAGCTGTGAATGGTAGTTTCTTAAAAGTTATTTTAAAAAAAAATGAAATTGTTATATCTGAAAAATTTAAGATATCGCATTTTCAATTGGTGTCTATTTAACCAATGAAATTGTGCCATTTTGTACCATTTGAGTTTCATGATAAATGCAACAATGGTAGGCTAAAATGACCAAACTCTCTATATGGTTTTCATTTTGATGTTTGTTACACTATAGTATTTGATTTATATAACTACAAACATTATTTTACATAAGGATTTATCAAACCAAGTAAACAATCTAACACATTTTAAAAATGTATTAGATTGCCCACTTGGTGTGATAAACTCATTTTACATAAGAGTTTATCACACCTTCATAGTTATACAAATCAAATACCATAACAACAATTATAAGTACGAAATGATCTAATAATCTTAATGTTTATTCTTATTTTTTGCCCAGGCAACACTGGGCTTACCTGCTAGCATTAATATAAAGGACAGATATCCTTTTAATTAAAGTACTAAAATTTTTCATTGATCTGTGGTTTCTTGATACAAATTGAAGTATAAAATTGTTGTCATTTTAATTTTCTTTATATCAAATATCTCACGAACACCAAATTTTTCTCTGCATCATACTAATTTACACTTTATGCTGATGATTAAGCTTTTTATAAAAACAGTATAGTTAAAATGTATATAATATCATAAAAATTAGTTATAGCCCAATTACAAAGATATATTTTTTTCTATTGAATAATCTAGAACTTACCTATTAGCAAGATCTGTTAAAGCAGCTTGTATATTCCTAGGATCTCTTCTAATTTCATCCAATCTAAACACTGTTGTAGAATTTTCATTTTTCTGTGCAATAGTATTTCTTGATTGGGTCTGATTTGTTCTTCCACTATTCCTTAAATTTTTATTGCCTTGATTTCCAGCACTGTTATATCTTGTACTGTTTTCTGCAACAGAAGCTGTATTTCCACCAAATGAACGTTTTTCACTGTTTATAGATCGTCCTCTACCAGATTCTCTGCGAGTCTCTCTTCCAAAAGCATCTCTCTGCCTATTATCTCCTGTAATACGCCCCCGCCTGGAATCATATCCTGAACGGCGATTAGAAGAATCATTAACCGGACGTTGATTTGAGAAACTTTTCTTAACGTAAGAATTTCTGTTCTCTTTCACTTCCTTTTTATCTTGAGAATTATCTTCTTTTAAATCTTTTCTTTCTTTCCTTTCTGCTACATCACTACTTTCTGAAGCTGTTTCCCATTCTTCATTAGCCACATCTGATAAATTTTCTTTTGTAACTTGTATTTTAGTTAAAGTTATATTTGCACCTGGAAAACCACTACCACCTCTACCACCATGACATCTTCCTCTTGATGATTCAGCATTTTCAAACCGTTTGGCTTGCCTCTTTTGAAACCTAGGGGGAAGTGTTTCACGAGTTCGTCTTGGGGGAATTCTTTCAACAGATTTTGATTTATTTGATGATTTATTCCCAATACTGTTATTTATATCTTCTAATTTTGTATCTTTACCTTCTTCTTCTTTAATATGATCTTCTGTAGAAACATCATCTGTTTTAACTACTTTACCACTTCCAAATGCAGCTCTTGAAGGAGGAGGACCATACCTGCTAGGACCATATCTAGGACCACCTCTAGAATTACGAATAGATACCGTACCACCTCTTCCTCGCCGAGAAGGTTCCCCTCTAGGGAAAAATCCTCCCTTTTCTTCTTTAACTCTATCAGAGTCTATTTTAATTTCTTGTTTCCTGAAAGTCTCTCTCTTATTTCCATCTTTTTTCTCACTTTTCTCTGTATCTAAATCTTTTAATGCATGAGATGAAGTAACAGAAGATTCTTCTTTCTTTGATTTATTTTCTTGTGTTTTTAGTTTATCTACTTGCATTTCTGTTACACTTACACTATTGTCATCAACAGATAATTCACTATCTTCATCTTTATGCTGTGCATCAGTTTTCCCTTCTTCAACTTCAGAAGCAGAACTCTCATCTGAAGGCAATTTATCCTTTTGTTTATCCTTTTCTTTCTCCCATTCATGATCTCTCTGCCGATCAAACCTTGGACCTCTATCTACACGAGAACGCCGATATTCTCTACTCCTACCTCCAAAACCTCCAGTTGCATATCCACTATTTCTTCCGCGACCCCTAGAGGATTCACTTCTTCCACCTCCTCGTGATCGAGGACCCATTATACGGTCCCTACCACTTTGGCGTTTCTCTCTTAAGGTATGATCATCTCTCTTTTTACTTTGAACATTTTCTCCCTTATCTGGAACATCATTCTTAAAATCTTTCTCCTTTTCAGATTTCTCAGAAGAATGAACTGTCTTTGTTTCTGTGTTTAATTTTTCAATAGAATCTGAAGAATCATTCTTTTGAACAGTCAATTTACATTTATCGTCCAAACTTTTTTCAGATTTTTCTTTTTCTAGCTTTGTTGATTCTGGAACATTTTTGGACAATTTTTCCTCAGATTCTTCTTTGTCCTTTGGAATATCTGTTTCAGCTTTCTTTGTTCCCAAATCTGGAGTACACTCTCTTGAATCATTCTTCTTATCAACTGAATTTGATGTATTAGAAGTATTTGCTGCTGCTCTTCTTAATGGAGTAAAATTCTTTTTTGTTGGTCCTACACTTTCTAATTGTTTTTGGGTTATTGGTGGTGGATGATGATGATGAGCTGGATGATGATGATGATGCCAGTCATGATGTCTCTTTGGTTCAGCAGGATATGGTGTATCACCCCATTCAACCGAACCAGATTTATCTTTAAATTTTTCATCTCTGATTGAAATCTTTGATTCCTTGTCAGAAAGTGAACTTTGACTTTCTTGTCTTTCAACAGTAATCCTGGAAGAAAAACAGAATTTAAGAATTTTATAAAAAATAATGCATACATATTAAATAAGTCAAATATCCTTGATATAAATTATTTATATCTCCCTTATCTCTGTTAATGACTACATCAAATTTGTTCCTACAGCAACAACAATTACTAATGTATTACAACACTGGTGCCCAAACTTTTAGATTGGCCTACCAATCAAAAAGTTTCAGTAAATTGCTTATAACTTGTAGGGGGCATTTTGTACATTTCATATACTGGTTTTATTCAAATAACTGACTTTGAATAGTAGCCACATCTACTATTCAGCAATTTCAAAAAACTTAGGAAAAACTATGGTAGATAAGTAGGTACTGTATTTATGTAACAAACAAACTTTAGTAGATAATGAAATATATACATAATGTACAGTAGGCAAAATTTTTAATTACTTTCTTATTACTGATATATAAAGTAAAACTTGCTGTAAAGTTAAAATACAGTTGCCATTTTATCTAATATGTTTAAAAGTCTAATTTATATAAATGTATATATAAATATTTAAAGTTATTTTACTAATAGTGACCAATGTATGGTTATGTACAAAAGAAATAATAGCTATTCTCAAATAGTAACTGCAAAGACAATATGCAGTTACTATTTGAACAGCAGTTTATTATTTGAACAAAACATGTAAAGGAGTCAATGTCCGATCGTTATTTTATGTTTTGGGGCGTTATTTTTATTTAATTATTTTCTTTTCGGGATTCTTTTTAGTTAAGGACAAACTCCTAAGCACCGGTGACCATGAAAGAAATAGCAAACTTAGTTTGCATCAGTGCCTGATCCTGTAACGACAACTTATGTAAAATAAGACAGTGCGGAGCTGCACTCAACGTGAATAAAAGGAGGCAGATCCACTACGGAGGTAGCTTCAGCTGACAATACTGTAGTAGAGACGCCTGTGATCAATTAGAGGAAGCCATATCTTTTGCTTTAGAATCCTTTTGAGGTGGAGATAAAACTTTTGTTGATTTATAAGTACAATTTTCTTTGATTATTGATTTTTTTGTCACTTTTCAATTATTCAATTAGTTAACTTACTGTTGGATCAATTAACCTGTTATTTTGTTAATATAATAAAACTTATATTTATTGTGAATTATTATATATGGCTGTGGAAATTATTGTTTTGGAAAGTCCAGGCCTGGTACTTGAACCCTAATATTGTGTAACCCCTTTTTGTTTTCATAAACGGTGCATTACAAACAGTATACTAAAAGTAGGCAAAGTTTTATCATTTATAAATGATGTGTCAAATATGTTTGAAGACAAGTTTACTACATTAATATGTGCTGAGGGCTGGGTTTGTCCTGGGTCCATAGATTGGGCTTTACTGTTACAATATATATAGAACTTTTAAATAAAAACAATAATTCACTATGATGATAAATTCATATTTACATAAAAGTTTTTCCAACTGATACACAATAAATTTCCCTCAGAGTATAAAAAAAGTTTAATTCAAATATGGTATATCCTTGATTTAACAAACTAATTCAGAAGATCCATAAACTATTGTTGAACTTTTTTTTAAATCAAATATGTTTTAAAGTGTATATTAATAAAAGTTCAAATAACACAATAAATGACTATGTATTCATACTTGTGTATGTACAAATCTAAATATCTATGAACATTAAAAATAAGATTTATTTTCATTAGAACTCATTTATGATAAATTTATATAAACTGACTAGTTTTTCTACAGCTAAAAAAAAGTGACTTTAAAAATGTTAGGAATTTTGTTGCTAACTAGTTGCATCATTTAGTAGTAAAAAAAAAATATCACAATATATACTGAAACAACATACCTTTCTTCACGTGCAGATTCCCTACTGTGACGACTATCTCTACTATCTGGTCTTTGTGGCCTCTCTCTATCCCATTTTTCATGACAGCTATGAATATCACTTGGTTCATCAAATGGATCCTGCAAAACATGCACACAACATTCATGAATTATAAAATTCCTTTATAATTATTCTTAAGGGTTTAATAAACAATTAATGCATTCATATTATTTAACCCCTTAAGCCCATAACCCGAGATATCTCGGGCAAGTTACATAACGTTACATAAAATGAGGTCCTTAAGGCCATTTTTGAAAAATTTTTTTTTTTGAATTTTTGGAATGTTTTTTAGGTCCCGAAATTTTTTCAAAATTTTTTTCCCGCGCAAAAAAATTTTATCGCGATTTTAATGAGCCTATGTGAAGGCTCGATTAAGGCTTAATTGTTTTTTAATGGGAGTTTTTTATCAAAATTATTTCATGGTTTTTAAGTTGTAGCGCACGGATTTTCATTCAGTAAAGTTATTTAAAGTTAGTTTCTGATGTCAAAAACGACCTCCGATGGTTTTTTAATTTTTTTAATTAATATATTTTTATAAATATATAATTAATTAATTAGGGGGGGTCGGAAATCGCAATAAAATTTTGAATTTTTTAAAAATATTTAAAAATTTCTGTGTCGCTTATAGTCACCCTACTTTAAACCCTTGTCCTCCCTAGACGTCTATGAGAATGTCCCGGGAAATCGGACTCCAGCTGTGTTCAAGGTCACCCAGATGTGTAAACAATGACTCATCGGTGTTACATTTCACAGACAGGCAAAACACAGGAAAATAAAATTTAAAGCTTTTTCTTCAAAATTAACGCATTTCTTTCGTGTTTTTTCAGTTTTAAGTATTTTTAATGTATTTTAATATTAATCAAGTATCAATTAAATTAATGATCCGGCGTTAAGGGGTTAAGAGCATTTTAAATTGATAAGTATTTGCTAATATTCATTTATAAACATACTGGCATTCTGTCTTCATAATCTCTAGAGCTAGTCCAAGAGTCTGTATCTTTAATTGCATCTCTGGTCTCCATTCTATCATCATATATAACTTCTCTATCTTCATTGCAATTATAATCTTGGTTTTCCCCATCTCTATTTCTAAGGAAAACATATTAAAAAAATGTTAATAAAGAAGTAAACAATAACAATAAAAACATTCTGTATTGCTATTATATTTTTTCAACAACAACAAAAAAATTCAAACAAACTTTTATTTCTCACAAACCTAAAATAATAAGAACAATGATTCCAGCTTATATTCAATACCTGTATGCAGTAGTGAAAACTGAGTAAATAAAAGTTCTTAATTGTAAAGAAAACTGCAAATTGAATTTTATACATATGCAAGCCAAGTTTCCAAGATTGGAAACAGTTATATAAAAATTAATAGTGATGTACTGATTGTTTGCTAATTGTTAATCCTTTTAATTGATAATCAATCATTCCATCACAAAAGCACTACTATTTAAATTTAAAATTATTAACATTAAAAATCAATGATGTTTAAAAAACTAACTTTATTAATAACAAATTCTGAATAATCATGGTAACACATCCAGTTCCATTAGAAAGATCCTTTTTGTATGTTATCAAACTGAAAATGTTCTAGCTTTGTACTACAGTAAAATTCACCAAACCAAACCACATTAATTAAATTACAAGTTGTCTACAGGTTCTGGATACAATATACAGGCTTTTCTAAGTAACACCATCTTGTTAAGTCAAAACTGTCAGTACTTTTACTACTCTATTTTTTGTATACCCTCCACCCTTTCATAGGCTCATGATCTTCATTTTCTCTTATATTCGTTGCAAATATAGCTAATTAAGATAAACAGTACAGTTCCATGTCAAAAACACCACCCCATTACAAATTTGTGTCAATCTCTTACTGATTAAGACACCAAATAAGATTGATAAAGCTACACTTTTAAAAAACTATGCTATATTCAAATTATTTTTAACATTTGCAAATTAATTCTCTCAAATATTTTTACAAATGTCAAAAATTTATTCCAGCAAACTTTTTCTAATTTAAATCAGCAACAAAAATATACGAGGCGTGTCTGGAAAGTACGTACTGTTTCGTTCTACTGCCATTGCAGTGGTAGTATCGCAGTTCAGCGCCTGCACACATGTCTCTCTGGTTGATTGTCAGTCCAATGACGCCATTACAGCCAGATTGTGTTGTTTTTCCACGTGTTAGTGAGCGTTCAAAATGTTTAAGACTATTGCTGATCCCGCCGACTGTGAAGTGCATTCTGTAATACAGTTTTTGAACGCAAAGAATGTCAAGCCAGTTGAAATTCATGCTCAACTTCTAGAGATTTATGGTGAAAATGTAATGAGTGATGGAATGATTAGAAAGTGGGTTCGACAATTCAATGCCGAATGCACTGATGTTCACGACGAAGCATGGAATGGCTGGCCTTCTGTTGTCAATGATGGTTTGGTTGCAAAAGTGAATGAAAAAATTCCTGAAAACAGACTGTTCACAATAAGATTGCTTTGTGATGAGTTTCCACAAATTTCAAATACTGTTTTGCATGAGAATGTTGCAACAACCGATGTTCAGCAGTGGCTGTCTTCACTGGCGGCATCTTTCTTTGAAGAGGGTATAGACAAGTTGGTTTCCCGATATGACAAATGTCTGAACAATGGTGGTAACTATGTAGAAAAATAGTTTCAGACACGCTCTTTCATGTAAAAATAAATTTTGTTTTGCAAAAATATTTTTTATGCAAGTTTTTCCAAAACGGTACTTACTTTCCAGACATGCCTCATAGATTAATTTTAACTACTTCAATTTTAACTTATTTTATTTACTTAAATAATTTACAAGTATTATCTACAATCTGTTGTTCCGAGAATCCATTATATCATGAACAACAAATTTCTCACACATCCTAGGAATTACTGGTTATTTGAAAAAATTTCAGTTTTTAACCCTATATATAAGAAATACCAGTACTTGAAATTATTCAGTCTCTTGAGATCTCTATTCTTTATCCTATAGAAACATGTATGCTTGTAACTTGCATATTATGCTGTATATTGTTCTGTACATGTATATGACAGAAGCTGATAAAACTACAGTATACATACTGTAAGCATAAAAACAGGAAAATTACATATACTCATTAGGGCTTTGCTTGACTTCACAATCTGTTAAAAAAAACTTGTCCATCTTGGTTTCTTTTGATGCCACTTTCTATCTATTGAATACAACACCACTTTATGTTAGCAATGTCATGCACAGTACAACCTGTTTGTTTATGCTAAAACTTGTCATTAAGGTTTTCACAACTTGGAAATACTTGATGGTCTCACTAAATTTCAGTACTACACTTCGACTGGCAATTGAGGTGTTCACTAGGTGACTCCTCCTCAATCATATCAGCCAGCTGACTCTGTACAATTCTTCAATTGTACCTATCCTAAATGTAACAAATGCTACAAATTTCCAGAAACAAAATATCCCAAACATTAACCAAACATTGAAAAAAAATGCCGTTTACAATAGATTGGGGTAGAAAAAATCAGTTACTCCAAGTAACAGATCCGCTAAAAGGAGGTAAAATTACATTGATTTGGTGGGACCTAGAAAAAAAAGTTATTCCAAGAAATCCGTTGTTCTGTTAAAATGTAATTCTACTGTATATTTTTTAACTTTGTTATTATCCATAAAGCATATTAAAAAATGTTATCCAATTTCAAATACACTTTTAAATACTATATGCAAAAAAAAAAATTATTTCTAAATGAAGATTCAATTAAATAATTTTTAATGTTTTATAACAATTGTCCAAATATTGCAAATTCTTTTAATTATTTCTATTCAAATTTTGAATTAAGTAATAAAACAGGAACAAAGAGTCTTACATGGAATTTAAACATGACATTGAAATTATATATACAGGCAGCCCTTGACTTTCGCGCATAATTGGTTCCTGAAAGTGTGCGCGAATGTTGAATGTTTGAAAGTAGAGAGATGTAAAAAAAATATGCACCAAAAACTGTGTTTTAAAGTATTTATTTATCAATATGTGTACATAATGAAGTTAATGAGGTGTGTTTAAATGCTTTTGGGTGTGAATACTACCCTTTTTTTCTTTTCTCGATAAAGATTTCTATAATACGCTGTGTTTCTCTTAATTGCCCTATGTACCTGAGATATACGTTCACCATTGGGACCATATTCTTCCATGATAGTCAAAAACTTGTCAAGATGCATGAAGACGTCATTCATATTTTTAATTGTCAAAGCTTTATGTTTCCATCAGCTTCTTCCTCACTTTTATTGTGTATTTCATTGTTACTGAGTGAGACTCAATCAACTCATTAACATCTTCATTGTTGACAGCCTAATGAATGAACTAAACTTGGAGAACTATTTCATCTGTGATAGTTTCTGGTGTTTCTTCAAAATTTATAAAATCAATCATCATTTGTGAATATAATTGTTTCCAGTAACCTTTCATTGTTGACTCTCTTATTTCAGCCCATGAGGCTCCAATATTGTTTATTTCATTCCATATATTATAGTTTTTCCAAAAATCTGTTAATGTTGGCGCATCTTCCTTGTCAGTTGCTTTGATGGTCTTAGTCATTATTGTCCTCATATAATATCGTTTAAACATAGCTATCACTGTTTGGCCCATGGGCTGTATGAGGCAGGTAGTATTGGGAGGAAGAAACAAAATTGATTTCCAGATATAAATTCTGCAGAGATTTTGGGTGTCCTGGAGCATTGTCTAAGATTAATAATGCTTTAAATTGTAAGTGATTATTTTTACAATATTGCTTAACTATCAGCACGAAATAAAAAGTAAACCAATCTTTAAATATTAACACAGTAACCCGGGCATTTTTATTTGATTTCCAAATGACTGGAAGCAATTCTTTATCTTTCCCTTTCAATGCTCTGGGATTTTCCACTTGGTAAACTAACAATGGTTTCAATTTTAAATCATCAGCTAAGTTTCCACTAAGAAGCAATGTCAATCAGTTTTTGAAAGGTTTATGTTCAGGGGCAACTGATTCTTCCTTCGATAAAAATGTACGATTAGGCATTTTTTCTAAAATAAACCAGTCTCATCTACATTAACTATTTGGCTAGGAGAATATTCTCCATCTACAATAATTTTGAACAATGAAGAAATAAATTCTTTTGCAGCATCTTTATCTGCATCAGCCAATTCTCCAGTGAATTTAATATTATGTAAAGAATATATCACGTTATATTTGTTGAACCAGCAATTACTTGTTTGAAACACCATGTTAGAATCTTCATTTAATCTAGTCTTCCAATCTTCATGCAAACTAAGAGCATTAGCTTGAATAATTAAAAAACTCAGAGGGATATTATTTTGACGTTAATCATCAATCCATGATGACAAAGATATTTCCATTTCATCCATTACTAAGCCGTGTCTTTTGGAAACAATCTTTAATGATACATTTCCACAATTTTAAACGTATTCCTTAATTTTATTCTTAATTTTTAAAACTGAACATATCGTAGATCTGTTTACATTGTACAAACATTCGATTGAAGCAAAAGATTCACCGTTTTCAGAATGTTTAATTATTTCAGTCTTTGTCTCAATCGCATGAAGTTTGAGTCCTTAATTTCTTTTTGTTCATATCAACACCACAGTTTCTCCATTTCTCACTCATGTTTATCAATTTATAAGGACAAAATATTTAAACATAAATGAATTAATTGGCAAAACACACATGTTGACGCACACACTAATGCAAGACTGAAACTGTTTGACCTCTTGCTCAGAACAACACAGTAATGATTATGATTCCGAGAAGTCCGCTATTGTAGGAAGTAACATGTGTCCGAAAACGTAGAGCAAGCTACTGCACTTTGTAACATATAAGCATTCTGCATGGAAGCAAATTTTTTCATTATCAACAAAAATATTTAAAAAGTTGAATTTTTAAAAATGTGTGAAAGTGAATCGTGCGAAAGTCGAGGGCCACCTGTAATTCAATCATTAAAAACCGAGAATCCATTATATCATGAACAACAAATTTCTCACACATCCTAGGAATTACTGGTTATTTGAAAAAATTTCAGTTTTTAACCCTATATATAAGAAATACCAGTACTTGAAATTATTCAGTCTCTTGAGATCTCTATTCTTTATCCTATAGAAACATGTATGCTTGTAACTTGCATATTATGCTGTATATTGTTCTGTACATGTATATGACAGAAGCTGATAAAACTACAGTATACATACTGTAAGCATAAAAACAGGAAAATTACATATACTCATTAGGGCTTTGCTTGACTTCACAATCTGTTAAAAAAAACTTGTCCATCTTGGTTTCTTTTGATGCCACTTTCTATCTATTGAATACAACACCACTTTATGTTAGCAATGTCATGCACAGTACAACCTGTTTGTTTATGCTAAAACTTGTCATTAAGGTTTTCACAACTTGGAAATACTTGATGGTCTCACTAAATTTCAGTACTACACTTCGACTGGCAATTGAGGTGTTCACTAGGTGACTCCTCCTCAATCATATCAGCCAGCTGACTCTGTACAATTCTTCAATTGTACCTATCCTAAATGTAACAAATGCTACAAATTTCCAGAAACAAAATATCCCAAACATTAACCAAACATTGAAAAAAAATGCCGTTTACAATAGATTGGGGTAGAAAAAATCAGTTACTCCAAGTAACAGATCCGCTAAAAGGAGGTAAAATTACATTGATTTGGTGGGACCTAGAAAAAAAAGTTATTCCAAGAAATCCGTTGTTCTGTTAAAATGTAATTCTACTGTATATTTTTTAACTTTGTTATTATCCATAAAGCATATTAAAAAATGTTATCCAATTTCAAATACACTTTTAAATACTATATGCAAAAAAAAAAATTATTTCTAAATGAAGATTCAATTAAATAATTTTTAATGTTTTATAACAATTGTCCAAATATTGCAAATTCTTTTAATTATTTCTATTCAAATTTTGAATTAAGTAATAAAACAGGAACAAAGAGTCTTACATGGAATTTAAACATGACATTGAAATTATATATACAGGCAGCCCTTGACTTTCGCGCATAATTGGTTCCTGAAAGTGTGCGCGAATGTTGAATGTTTGAAAGTAGAGAGATGTAAAAAAAATATGCACCAAAAACTGTGTTTTAAAGTATTTATTTATCAATATGTGTACATAATGAAGTTAATGAGGTGTGTTTAAATGCTTTTGGGTGTGAATACTACCCTTTTTTTCTTTTCTCGATAAAGATTTCTATAATACACTGTGTTTCTCTTAATTGCCCTATGTACCTGAGATATACGTTCACCATTGGGACCATATTCTTCCATGATAGTCAAAAACTTGTCAAGATGCATGAAGACGTCATTCATATTTTTAATTGTCAAAGCTTTATGTTTCCATCAGCTTCTTCCTCACTTTTATTGTGTATTTCATTGTTACTGAGTGAGACTCAATCAACTCATTAACATCTTCATTGTTGACAGCCTAATGAATGAACTAAACTTGGAGAACTATTTCATCTGTGATAGTTTCTGGTGTTTCTTCAAAATTTATAAAATCAATCATCATTTGTGAATATAATTGTTTCCAGTAACCTTTCATTGTTGACTCTCTTATTTCAGCCCATGAGGCTCCAATATTGTTTATTTCATTCCATATATTATAGTTTTTCCAAAAATCTGTTAATGTTGGCGCATCTTCCTTGTCAGTTGCTTTGATGGTCTTAGTCATTATTGTCCTCATATAATATCGTTTAAACATAGCTATCACTGTTTGGCCCATGGGCTGTATGAGGCAGGTAGTATTGGGAGGAAGAAACAAAATTGATTTCCAGATATAAATTCTGCAGAGATTTTGGGTGTCCTGGAGCATTGTCTAAGATTAATAATGCTTTAAATTGTAAGTGATTATTTTTACAATATTGCTTAACTATCAGCACGAAATAAAAAGTAAACCAATCTTTAAATATTAACACAGTAACCCGGGCATTTTTATTTGATTTCCAAATGACTGGAAGCAATTCTTTATCTTTCCCTTTCAATGCTCTGGGATTTTCCACTTGGTAAACTAACAATGGTTTCAATTTTAAATCATCAGCTAAGTTTCCACTAAGAAGCAATGTCAATCAGTTTTTGAAAGGTTTATGTTCAGGGGCAACTGATTCTTCCTTCGATAAAAATGTACGATTAGGCATTTTTTCTAAAATAAACCAGTCTCATCTACATTAACTATTTGGCTAGGAGAATATTCTCCATCTACAATAATTTTGAACAATGAAGAAATAAATTCTTTTGCAGCATCTTTATCTGCATCAGCCAATTCTCCAGTGAATTTAATATTATGTAAAGAATATATCACGTTATATTTGTTGAACCAGCAATTACTTGTTTGAAACACCATGTTAGAATCTTCATTTAATCTAGTCTTCCAATCTTCATGCAAACTAAGAGCATTAGCTTGAATAATTAAAAAACTCAGAGGGATATTATTTTGACGTTAATCATCAATCCATGATGACAAAGATATTTCCATTTCATCCATTACTAAGCCGTGTCTTTTGGAAACAATCTTTAATGATACATTTCCACAATTTTAAACGTATTCCTTAATTTTATTCTTAATTTTTAAAACTGAACATATCGTAGATCTGTTTACATTGTACAAACATTCGATTGAAGCAAAAGATTCACCGTTTTCAGAATGTTTAATTATTTCAGTCTTTGTCTCAATCGCATGAAGTTTGAGTCCTTAATTTCTTTTTGTTCATATCAACACCACAGTTTCTCCATTTCTCACTCATGTTTATCAATTTATAAGGACAAATGAATTAATTGGCAAAACACACATGTTGACGCACACACTAATGCAAGACTGAAACTGTTTGACCTCTTGCTCAGAACAACACAGTAATGATTATGATTCCGAGAAGTCCGCTATTGTAGGAAGTAACATGTGTCCGAAAACGTAGAGCAAGCTACTGCACTTTGTAACATATAAGCATTCTGCATGGAAGCAAATTTTTTCATTATCAACAAAAATATTTAAAAAGTTGAATTTTTAAAAATGTGTGAAATGGTGAATCGTGCGAAAGTCGAGGGCCACCTGTAATTCAATCATTAAAAACCAATTATTATAATAAATATTTTCTCCATTATATAATAATCAACCTTTCAAAATTCAATCTTTTTGCACTTGAAAATTGGAAAATATTCTAAAAGAATTAATTTTTAAAAAGAAAGCTTTTAAAACAAATTTTTGATAAAAACTACAATAAAATTACAGAGACAAAACTGTAAAATAATAATAATAAACTGTTCCATACAAAATCTTTCCCTTGAATTTAATATTGTATAATATTGAATAATATTCCCTTGAATTCCCTTGTAATAAAACCTTTAAAGTTATTTTTAAAAATACTTAAATGGGAACAGTTCTTAAAATCATGTGCCATAAAATCAGATTTGAAATAAAATAAAAATTATCATATTTAGAATGTCTAAAAATAATAAGTGTTATACACATATATGGATCTTAATTATACAATTTATTAAATATTTATTCAAGTTATCTACATGATTCATATTTATGCAATTCTTTAATCAATAATATAATAATTATTTACAATAAATTAAATAAAAACAAAACCTTGAATTATATTAAAACATTTCAAAATTATGTTCACTGTACTCAATGTACACAAATTTAAACTACAAACTTAATAAAATTATAATCTTAATCTTCAACATATTACATTTATATTTTAAACATGTTTGTATACAAGTGTAAGGTGTATTGTAAATTGTGAGAAATAGTAAGAATACCTTCACATAGATTAGAATTTAAAAAATTATTACAAGAGATTTATGACAATTGTTAGTACTTTTCATGTTTTTAATTCGATGTAATTTAGCAATTAAAGTTTTGCTTTTCAATTGTCTTCTTGTACAAAAAATACAATGCTTTTTGTGTATGTTAAGTTTGGAATAGATCTCTGTTTCTTAATCTGTAAGCCAAATTATTGGATATGCTTATTTTTGGACAAGAGTATTAATAATTAATAAGTGAGATTTATGTAAAAAAATTAAAAATTCTGACAAAGAATCCTTCAGCAGTTTTTGAAAGTTATTCAAAATCAGAAAAAAAAATTTACCTTCTTTCACATTCTTGAGAATTGGAATCAAGAAACTGCGAATCTTCTTTTCCCAAACTACGCTTAAAATCTGCTCGCTGATCACAATTTCGACTGAATTCTACATTCTTATCATAATAACCAGCAGGAGCAACAGATCTCCATCCATCATAAGGAACTGAAAAATATTTTGTACATATATATATATACAGGTTATCACTGCATGTAATTTAACTTCTGAAGTATCCAAATATACTAAGATAAGCTTCTTAGTATATTTGGATACTTTGGCAGCTAAATTACAGTTAACATAAAATTAAATGTAAACCAAACTGGAATAATTATAAATATTTCAATTATTAAAACTAATTTATCTTAGTTCACTGTCACTTCTGTAACTATAATACTATCAGAATTTTTTTCTGTAGATATTGCCGAATTTTCTAATTTTTTGCATAAATTTTCATATAGTATAGACTGTATGTGACAGACTTTGTTTAACAAAATAACTTTATAAAACAAATTTATATATGTGCAATCAAAAAAAAAAAATTCAAGACACACAATATATAGATACCGTGTTTCCCCGAAAATAAGACATCCGCAGAAAATAAGACCTAGCACAGATTTTGCTGAATTGCGAAATATAAGACCTCCCCCTGAAAGTAAGACCTAGCGAAGTTTTTTTTTAGTCGTAACGGTCATCGACAGATGGTTGAAAGTACAGCCACTGATTGGTCAGCAGACAATTACGCCACACGGCATGATTTGCATAAGACTATGGCTTGGGAATCACAGATTTGCATAATGTTATCGCTGGTGATCGCTAATTGGTCGGCTGGGAATCACGCCACATCACATTTGCATAGTGCTACGGTTCAGTAAGCACTAATTGGTCATCGAGCTCGATGTGGACACTATAAAAAAGTTAAGTTGAATGTGTCGCAAGGTGTTCTCTCGAACCTGTTTAGCGTATTGTTCAACAATAAATGTGAATTCGTCTTCATGGAAATATAAGACATCCTCCCGAAAATAAGACCTAGTGCATTTTTTAGAGCAAAAATTAATATAAGACACTGTCTTATTTTCGGGGAAACACGGTAGCATCATATCTACTTATATAAACCATTGATCCCATGGTTTGTATATCTGTTATCTGTCATGGAATGCCTAGAATGCGCATTAGGGGGTGTCCCTACTGATGATTTTCAGCTATTATTTAAATTAATAGTATAATTTATTTATTAATTAACAGTATATATTATTATTTTTATTTGTAACAGGAATTTATTATTTATACCATAGAATGACAGCTTCTGCTAGAATACCCACTATGGGGCATCCTGGGATACTAGTTAATACATAAATGATATTACATCAAATAATGAGTTTATAATCTTATTTGGGATCAAAATTACAAACATTCTAAATCATTGACATTAAGAGCTGTTTTATACACTGAAAAAATGAATTAAAAATAACGTTAAACTATATTATAATTGACATCCAGTAATGTGTTACTTACTGACATGCAAATACAGTAGAACCTCAATTATCTGGATTGTTCAAAATAAACAAAAATTTTACGAATTTGCTGATTTGCACTTGGTGAATTACGATACTGTTTATGTACGTGATGGAATGCATAACTTTTTTGTTTCAACAATGTCTCACCCGGCACAGTGGTCGTAAACTCAGATATATTTTGTGTCATAATAAAAATATAATTTGACATACGTATTTATAAATAATTTATATTCAAATTACATCATTTCTATGACCAAGGAAAGCATATGGGCAACGTGGGCCACCACCTATCCTCGCGGTCTAAAGGGCCTCGCACCTCACAGGTTTATGCATTACTTAAAAGCCGCAAATGCGACAAAAAATTTTACTCACCATAAAACGATAGATAGTTTGTCAAATTTTTATTCATAAATATGCAGTTTTAACTGCTTTTTATTTTATAAAATCCGTCTTCTTGCGCCACCAGAGGGCCTTTTAAACAATAGGTAGTCTGTTAGTGCTGGTCAGTAGTAGTCCAAATTCAATACGAATGTTTGTTTCTTGAATATTTGATCACGATTTAAAGACAGTATTTATTTTTAATATTACCGATATGTCATCGAAAAGAAAACGTGTTGTATTATCATTAAAAGACAAATTAAAGTATTTATTTCGATTATCCAAATTTTTCCTTATCCGGACTACCTTTATCCCCAATTAGTCCGGATAATCGAGGTTCTACTGTAGTTTATAATTTCTGTACATTAACCAATGACAAAAAGTAACATTTAATGTATATCTGTGGATCTAGTTTAGATTTTCAATTGAGTTCAATTTCTAAAACACACTTAGTATTTTATAATACAAACTTTGTTCATCTTTAGATATTAAAAACAGCAATAATATAAACAATTAGAATAGCCACAAAACAATGTTCTAACTGCTGGACTCAAACAAAATCAATAATTCAAGGGCTAAAATTAATGAAGACTTCAAGTAAACATTAATAAAAATGTTATGTGTTAATTTTTTTTACTTTACAAATGAGGTATTCAGATTAAATTCAAACTAATTTTTTTAAATGACAAAAAAATCATCTTTTCCATTAATAATGACAAAAACATTGGAAAATCCTGTAAATTATAAAATGCCATGCAATTCTGAGAGGAAAAATAATAATATTGTATTCAATGTACAGTAGAATATTGTTTATCCATACCTGATGAAACCAGCAGTCTTTCAGATAAACAAAATTTCAGATAATCAGAAACACCTTTGTGTTCTGGATACATCAAGCACTGTACAATTAAAGTTTCACAAGCAATAAATACTGTAATGTAATTACTGCATTTGAAAGCAAATTAATTTATTCAAAATTTAACAATGTTGTGTTTATGACCTAGTTTCACAATGCAACAATTGACAAGTGTAATAATTTCCAATTATACAGTGTTTCATCTTTTGTGTTATATTCTAGTCTAGTACAATACTACACACTCTAATTTCTCCAAATCATTTCGAATTTCAAACCAGTCTCTACCATAATTAACTAAATTTTTATGATTTCAAAATATAATTAATTTATATCAACTTTAATGAATGTATTTAATCTCTCTCATAAAATAATAACTGGTTTCAACAATTAAAATTTTTTAGAAACTCAGGATTTATATCTTAATTTAATGATCATTATATTTTTGATTATAAAAAAAATGTATTTCAATAAACCAAATTTATTGATATCAGTTAGATAAATTTAACTTTCTTAAGACCAGGGTAACGATCTGTCACACCCCCCATTGTTATAACAATGTACTAGGGTACCGATTCGTCGTTACCCTGCAAAAAATCGATTTTAATGAAAATTTTTGGCAACAGATGCCACCACTTGACTGTAGTGTGTTGTCTACCATCTGTTTCACATATTTTTGTCCAGGTGGTGTTTTGTCGACTCAGAAATTTTTATTTAGCGATTTTCTTTTGAATTTAAATATTTTTAAATTTATTTTATAGCATATTTACGTAATAATATTACTAAAATACGTTTATTTATGCTATAATAAGTTTATTTAGTTATAATTAAGCAATTTATGATAAATATTTAAATTGTGATTTTTAATTTTAATATTTTATAAATTTTTTTATTTTTTATTTTTTAATTTAATTAAAAATATTAGCACATCATAAATGTATTACTACTAGTTTATATATTTATCACAATAATTTATATTATTGTTCAAAATAGAATGAATAAAGAATATTAGTTCGTAATATTCATCGATAGCAAAACAAAGGTTAGATTCCAAACAAAGGATATATTATAATCTGTGATAATTTTAAAACTAAAAATCGTACATTCATAAATGTTATATAGAATTGTACAGAACAACATTT